AGGATAGGTTTGCTAATGTGTAATTTCCGCAACTCTTCAACGTCGAGTGCATAAACAATAATGATGAAGATCTAGACCGCAATTAACAAAGAAGTTATGAGAACGACGAAAATAACGGTCTGAGTGCTCTTCCGAGTTTCCTTGACTGGTTTGCCTGTAGGGCCGGGTGCCGCTAGGGTATGAACCGCTCTTTCTTAATCCTCTTTCAGGACTGCCTACTCTGCTCTTTTCTGTGCTCCATTGTCTACTCTTTATTCCACCGCTTTGTGAATTCCCAATCTTTTGGCTCATCATGCTGATCCTTGCGTCGCTTAAAGGGCGCGCCAATGCTTGCTGCAGCGCGCACCAATGCTAACGCGGATTACGGTAACAGTGAATCCGCGGCCTTTGTTATCTGTCTTGTGCAAATGAGAGCTTCTTCTTGAGTTTTGACAGCACTTTTTGTTGTGCTTTTTAATTAAAATTTAGGTTTATTGCTTCGATTTTCCGCACGAAAAATTTTTACTTCAAAACTATGCTGTCATCAAGTGTACGACTACATCAATATAAATCACTTAACTAGCTTAATTCCAACGGCAAACGCCCACTTATAATTTATAAGCTAAAAACACAAAACTAAATAGGTACTGATTAACTTATTGACACTGTAGCAGGTGTGAGCTGTATGGGTATGCTTTCAGGCGGCTGCCTATCAACAACAGTCTTCCTCCCGTATCTTACATTAAAGCTGTGGATGTATGGATCGGAACGTGTCTTGCATTTATTTTCGCTGCGGTCGTCGAATTCGCTATCGTGTCCTACTGCGCAGCACCAAAACACGGTACGAAAATAAGCGTGATTTCTTCAAGATTTTATGAAGTCTTCAACAGGTCCAAGTCATCACAAAGAATGCCTCTGTGCTGCAAGGGAGGCGACCGATAAAGACAAATCTGTAAGGTTCCCTTCGAAGCTTTGCTCAAGTAATTGTTCAAAATTTTGCTTCTTAACTATGTACGAGAATGGAACCATTGCGAAATGTCAATAACCAATTCGCTTTCGCCACCCTCCCTTATTTTCTGTCTCGTTCCTTCTCACTTCTGCTTCGGCTATGTGTTTGGGAAGAGATATTCACGAAGTGGGGAGGAAGCACAAATCCTCAATGCAAGCTAAGAAATCCTCAAAAATTTTTTGCGGCAAAAAAACACAAAAAAAAAAGGGCGCCGCGCCGGGGTTCTCCCAAAAAACTCAACCCAGCATCGAGCGCTGTTCTATGAGTATACCTGATTCTCCTCCTCGTGACGACTGCATCACTTGCTTAAGTTGCACCAAACAGATTAAAGATTGCAACTGACTAGTCTTTCTCCAAGCTACTGCCATAAGTCGCTAGCTACCTACATATCAACAGCAAGCCTATTTTTCCTTCTCTCTCATACTGTAATTAAAATTTTATATTGTTTGAACTTTTGGTATATCTTCCAGATTTAAATTGGAGATGTCAAACAGATATTCAAGTGAATTTTACTTTTATGATTCTATATCTGACTTCGTTTTGCGCAAACAGCTCGTAAAGGGACTACATAGCAGCCAAAATTATTAGCAACCATTCCTTTGTGTTGGATTTTCTATGGTGATCGGGGCCCAATTAAAAGTTTAAATAACAAACTTAATTCTTATCGAACGCTCGTTGTCCTAAAAATTAATACCCATCTGCCATGTGATAATTCCTCTGCTTCAATTCTCCCTCTTTTTCTTGCTTCCTGGATGTATATACATGTGAATGTGCCATTGGTACTGTGAAGAATGTTAATTTAGTCGGACGAGGTGAACCGAAAAAACAGTTGGAGCGAAGGCAAAAATACTGAGGTGGAGCCACTCCAGGTATCCAATGCTACACGCCCGCACAAAGGCGGCTTCTCATTCTGGCGAGGTGGAAGGAGGGAGCAGATCCACCGAAGGTGATCGATTTGAAGTCACGTGAGTGTTCTGATCATTCCACGGTTTCTGTTCGTCATAGGCATCCTCTCATTGAGTACACATTTTTCTACTATTAACTAGGTTTTCTTCTATTCAGTAAAATTGGATTTATTCAAAGACATGCTTGTGCAGCGCTAAGGTCTTGCCTTAACTGCTGCGACGTACCTACTCTTACATGTCCGCAGCATACCAAGTGCCTGCGCCCTCTCATACGGCGTGCTCTCCCCGTATCCGCTCTCCTCGCCGCACTGTCTCTCTGTCCAATGTCGAACTCATAAGAAAAGTAGGCTCTCACTTCCAGTGCTCTCTACGGTATATTTTGCTTTTTTTACCATTGCCGGTTCCCTACGAACTTGTTGTTTCATTTTCGAGCGCAATAACCACAGATTTCGGTCGCTGGCTGTGCCCTCAAAGAGCTTGCAATAGAACCATGACTTGCAGCAACCGGCTGTGTACAAATCGGTGATGTACAGTTCTGAACTATAATCCTTGGCAGCGATGTACAGTGAGACACCGTAGACGGTGAATGTCTCACGTGGTGACTCCTCAGTCACAATCGTCTAACCTTTAATCGGCAAGGAAAAATCAATGGCAGAAGACCCTTTGTTGTGGCCATGCATTCGTTTGGTTATTCATTCTCGTATTTTTCCCGACGTCTTTACAATGTTTCTCGCATCTTTCTAGCACCAATATCATTTTCACTGGCTGAATTGTGCACTTATTTTCCAAATCAGGGCTCTGACGCTCTACTCGGTATTTGCCAAGTGGACTAATCAAGTTCCCGCGTCTATTGCCTCTTAGATATTCTTTTAAGCGTATGCTTATCACCCTGCCCGTTTCACAAGTAGGACTTCACCACAAGTTGAGCATTGCATTTGCACTACTACTCGTTGCGTGAAACCTCCATTCCTCGCATTCAAGCAAATGACGCAGTCTTCCTTAATGCACATGCGATCATAAAACCTTGTGCGAATCAAATGACGTTTCATTATGCCCGTTGATATCTTAGTCAAAACTACCATTAGGTAAATCTGCTTGCGCTATGTAGTGCCGCACAGCTGCGCCTACCTGTTCTTTGAGCGGTTTTCACGTCCTCCCACATACAGTTGACGATAACCGATATGATCGTTGAGCATGACTGAAA